GCAGCATAAAGTTTGTTTTTGTTTTTAAATCCAATCAGATAAATGTTATCTTTTAAATTAGGTAGGCATTTATTCTGTCTAAAATTAAGGTAATTATGGACAAATTTGGTTTAATCAACCATCTTGCCTTCTATTGCCTATCTTGCAACTATTGCCTTCTATTTGGCCTGTTCTGTGTTCCTTTGTCTTTCAATTCTTGCCTTCTGGTGAATTGGTTATTTAAAATCATTTATTAGCTTATTGGATAACTATATCTTTTTATTATTCATTTAAGGATTACCATAGAGATTATAATATTTATACTTGACTTACGAAAATCTAAGATAAATAAATACCTTTTTTCTTTCTTGGACAATACAAGCCCTTAGAGCAATTTAACTTCATTTACTCTTTACTTCCCCAGGCTCACCAACTTGTATTTCATTGTTGGTATGTGTTTTAATTCTTTCCTCTATTTCTCTCTATATCTATAAATATCTCTATTATGCCATAAGAAATATATACTTCTTCATACAGTTCAAAATTCTTTGGGTGTGCCCACATATTAACTCTTTTGATTAATTTTCATTCTTTTTTGCATCTCTGGGTTTCTGTCTGGGTTCATTTGCTTCCTGAATGACAAATACCCTTTTGTGTTTTATGTGGTGAGTAACAAAACCCTCAGTCTCACTTGTATGAAAATTACTTTTTTGTCATCATCCTTTGAGAATATTTTTTCCTGTGTGAAGAATTCTAGGTTGGCAGTTATTTCTTTTAGCACTTTGAAGTTATTATTCTATTCCACTATCTTCTGGATTTTGTTGTTTCTATTGATTTTTATTGTTTTTATTTTTATTGTTATTTCTTTGAAAGTAATATGTACTTTTAAAAAAAGTAGTCTGATTGTTTTTGGTAGTTAGCTGGTATATTATGATGTACTTAATAGTGGTTTTCTTTATATTCATCTTGTTTGGGGTTCATTGAAATACTTGAATCTATGGGTTCATATCGTATATTGTCTTTGAAAATGCAAGTGGCTGAACTAGGACCAATAACATCTCCAAATCATCTGAATTCAGAGAGAGATGATTTGAAGCTTCCTGATAAGACTTGTTGTTTTAAATTTATCCTTACTCCTTGTGTATTATCCCTCAGACTTAACCCAAAGCTTGGGGCTTACAATGGGGCTTCCTTGGGGGTTCTGATTTCCAAAATTGTATTTCCAATCCCTCGAGTCTGTCAAAAGCTCCGCTAAGCATCTATGCTTCTGAAATCAGCAGATGCCTCGAGGAAAATGGCTACAAATTCTTGATTCGTTTTTCTAGGTTTTTCTCTCTTGGATATTGACCATGCAATTTCCTCCCTGGCTTGATATACGTCTGATGCATTAAAACCAATGTGGTATCAAATCTTTTTTCGGCTTTTCTAGTTGTTTTCTGCAAATGGTTTAATCAGCACTACCTAATCTGTCATTGTAGGGAGACATTCTTTAAGTTTTAAATATAGCATTTCACTTTTTTTTTTCTTTTCTTTCTAAATTCTTAGGTTCATGAGAGGAGAAACTATTTTGTTCATCTTGGTATGCCCAGTACTCAGCTCAGAACTTGGAATACAATACAAGATTATTAAATATTTGTTAAATAAAGTTTATGTTTGGGATTGATTGCAAGTAATGTTAATTTTTTTTACTCTTTACCAGAAATTGTTAAGAATGTCACTCACGAACTGTAATGTAACAAGGCCCAGCTGTGGGAGTTGTCTATCCTGAATGTAGTCAGTTGGTTAGAAATTAGACCAACACAATTTTTTCCCCCAAGGAGGAGTATTTTGTCACTGACATTATTTAGAATTTCTGGTACACAGTGATAGTAAAAAGCAGATGATGTTAATTAGTTATTTTATTGTTTTTAAATTTCAATATAAAAGGTGTCCTTATTGTCTGCAGTCTAGGGCAGACTACTCCCATCACATAAACATCGGTGTGCCACTGCTCATGACAGTAGAGGCAAATGAGACAGTTGTTGGGGACAATCCAGCTGGGTTTAATTTATGGAAAGAGCTGAGTCCATGTAAGTGAGTGGGCCAGCTTTGACATACTTTGTGTTTTCTGATTTCCCCACCCTCTACTGTCTCCAGGAAACATTTATCTGGGCTGGACTGTTTTTAACTATGCATCTACTAATAAGATTGGTCAGGGCACTGTGGCCATCGAATGTTGAAGAATGGTTTGCTCAAATTGGATCGACTTCATGTTTGGGTTTGCTGTTCAGACTAGCTTATAAACTCCATTGAGAACAGAGATACTCATTATTGTCTGTTCCACAGCCCCGACTCCAGTATTGCAGACAACCGGTGCTTGATACACATGAGTTACATTGAATGGTGCTCCCTTGTGTGTTATTTCACACATAAAACACAACAATTTGAGGTATTTTAATCTGTTAAACCCAAGATGAAGGAGGAAAATATAATTTTTTTATGGAATATACAACATACAGTTAAAAGACCCTTTGCTTTGGATTTTGTGGTCAAGATGGTGGAGTAAGTAAAATACTGTGCTTGCCTCCCCTCATGACCACATCAAAATTACAACTAAACTACAGAACAACCATCATTGAGATTCACCTGAAGTCTAGCTGAACAGAAATAATATAAGCGGGAACATACAGAAGAAGCCACATTCAGATTGGTAGGAGGGGTGAGACACAGGACTGGTTGGTCACACACACATACATACACACGTGCACACCCACATGTGACAGTTAAGAATCTCGGCTGTGGAGGTTCCCCCTGAGGGGCAAGGGCTCCTCGTGTTAGATGACTTCCAACACACTCACAAAGCTCGGTTGCGAGAACTCCTCTCTAGTTATGCTTTTATCTACCTGTTATTTTAGATAGTGACAGGCAGTGAAGTTCACCTGAATAGATCTCCAGAACCCAGGCCAACAGTAAAGGAAGCTACCTGAACCCCTTTTAGTCATGATTATTTTGCCCTAGCCTAAGCATTAAATCAGCTGGTTGACATCTCTAAATACATTTTAGGGGTGTGGATTTTTTCTTTTTTTTTTTTTTGGTGATTATTGACACCAAAGTTTAGGGTATTGTATTTTGGTTCCATTCACCCATCTTCTTCAGAGAGTCATCTTGATCCTAGAATTCTTATAGTCTTTACCATTCTTAAACATTTCTTACTTTTTATCCTCCTGAATTTGTCTTCACTCTAATGAGAAACTCATTGGTAATTTTGTCTTTTTCTAATTAAATATGTTAGTCATTAATACCAGTCACTAAATATTTTGGATTTTCTACCATTCCAGAAATGACAGTAGGATTGAATTTCTTAGCATTAGACTAGTCTGGTGAGATCATGTGACTAGTTTGAGCCATTGTGTTGTGAACAGAAGTGGCATGTGTCACTTCTTGGCCAGAGGATTTAATGGCTAGTGTAAGACCCTCCGAAGATCTCCTTTCCCTCTGGTATAGTGACCAGCAATATTTGTTCTGTCAATTTTGGTCCCTGAGTGGTCACAATAAGCAGAGTGTTCCTGCCGACCTGTGATGAATAAGCAGTGTGAGCAAAAAACAAACCCTGTGGTTTTAAGCCTCTAAGATTTTGGAATTGCTCATTGCTGTGTTTATCAGTCAGGGTTGTACCATAGAAATAGAATAAGTAGGATACACACACACACATTAGAGAGAGATTTATCATGAGAGATTGGCTAGGTGATTGTGGGGGATGACCAGGTAAGTCTGAGTCCCCCGGCCGGGCCGTCGGGGGGCAGCTGGAGCTCTGGGCTGGTGCCAATCCTGCAGTCCGGATGGGGGATTCCTTTCCCTTTATGACAGCTTCGGTTCTGCTCTTACAACCTCCCAACGGATTGAATCAGCCTGCCCAGTTTATCTAATATTCCTTACTTAAAGAAAACTGATTATAGATTTTAATCACTTCTTCAAAACACCTTCACGACAATTCCTAGATCAATGTCTTATTGAATAACAGGAATTATCACCTGGCCAAATTGACACATACAACTGACCATCACTCTGTGGCACAAATAATTAGGCTCCTAATTACAGCAGACCTTAGACTTAAATGACTTATCTCATGCATCTTTTTTATATGAATAACTACAAACAAACAGCCTGAGGGACAAACTTTAAAAAAGGCTTTTATTTTCAACACACAATAAATGGTAGTTATATAAACCATAAAGGCTTTCTTTTCACTTTTGAATGAGTGCCCACAATGGGCTCCATGTGAAACAGAACGCATGGCTATAGACCTTCTTCTGGTGTTACTAATTCCTACCTAAATCTAGTAGGAAGAGATGCCAGGCTAAGCGTGCCTTGACCCCCACCCCCGCCTTCTCCAATCCCTCCTATGGCATCTTAAAGGCCCATCTTCCTTTGTAAGACCTCTCAGGGGTAGTTTTACTTCCACCTTCTACAAATCCCCAAATATTTAGAATATTAGAATATTAACAACTTTTGTATTTATTAAGCCAGTCATCCGAATACATATTTATAAACAATTTCTAAATTTATAACACATCTGCCTCTACTTAACTCAGTTATTCTCTGCCTCATTTTCCTCATATAAAAAATAATGTGTTTGGGCTTCAAAAATTTTATTTCCGGCTCCAACAGTCTCTGTATCTATCATGCAGTTATCTCCTGAATGGCTTTTCAATGTCCATCTTCAATTCTCCTAATTCATCTTTATGAGTCTAAGATATTTGGTCACAATTAATTTGATACTTAACACTTATACAGTGTATCCAGGCGATTTACCATGAAGATTTCCAATACGAGTCCATGTCTCATGAAGACAGGCACACCACAGTGCTGCTCTTACTTCCTCACTGACTGCTAAGCTACTTAGAAATGTGGGCAGCTTCAATTTAGCATGTGTGTTAGGCCCCTCTGGATGGCAAAGAGCAGGCATGCAGTCAGGTTATCTCAATTAATGTGAGTTTATTTGTGTCAATACATAAGAAAATAAGGAAGATAAGAAAGCAATCCAGTACTACAAAGTCCGGCTTCATTGTTCAGGAATCAGTCATTATTATTCCAGTAACCTAAGAGCAGAAGTAGTGAATCCACAAGAACTCTACTTGGCTTAACTGAAGAAGTAGTTGCCATTACTCTAAGGTGATACCATCAGGTGACTCAGTTCTTCTCTTTTGGCTGCTCTTGGCACTACTCATTTGTTTTCTGTGTCTCATATTTAGATTCCCTAAAGGAGGGCTCTGATTGGCTGGGCCAGGTGTCATCCAACATCAGTGCTGCATATGTCTCCTTCCCTAGGCCGCACTCTGGCCTAAAAATGGGTTTGAGTCAGGTATGAACATTGGTACAATTAGCTGTGACCAGTGGTGAGTGCTCACAGGGCAGAAAACATAATTCTACTTATGCAGGAGCATGGATGTGCTCTCTCCAGGACAAGCACAGACCCACTCATGGAACATGGTAACACGCAGCTCTACTGCTGGGGACAAAGCAGCTTTTGTGTCACAGTGACATTTTCTCATGGTGCTCTATCGATACCATAACCTCCCTGAAACCACGTCACTGCCTTTCTTTTATTACATTTGGTGGGGGAGATGTTGCCTTTAGTAACATGCACTTTCAAAAGAAGCAGATAATCTGTACTTTTAAGTGAAAGTAAGTGAAGTTATAAATTAAACTTTGAGTCACATGAATGTTGTTGGAACATATTTTCTGAGTTGTCTTTAAAGATCTTCCCCCATTCATACTGGAAAGTCATATATGATTTCAATATTTTTAATCCTGAAAATTGAGGTCATAATCCCAAAACTTATTGTATACTTACATGGACACTCTAAATTAGAAACTACATGTGTCCGTGTTTGTGTTTATAAACTTAGAATTTCTCAACTATTCCTCAGTACATTCTACCCATGGTGATAGTACAGTCTGTGAGGGAATTAACAAATTTTCAACATGTCTGAAGCTAAAAGGAATGGGTTTGAGAGCCAGATATCTGTTCTATAAAAGGAGAACTATTCCACTTACTAATTTTTCTTTCATATGAAATAAAAACAAATCACAAATAATCTTCACCTTTACTATGATTTAACTGGACTCCTTGCACAGGATTAGACTGTTGGCCCAATTAAAAAAAAAAAGAAGAAGAAGAAGAAGAAGCCATAAATTAAAAGATTCAGAAAATGCTGATAAAATCAAATAATTATTGACTATGCAGATTCAGAAAGCTGGCTTTATCAAGCCTTTGTTAAACTCTCAAATGATACCCTTAAAAAATGTATGCATTTTCAGATTTCTTCTTTTTATAAAAAGGTACCCACCTTATCACATACCATGCACATTCTTTCAGAGATAAATCTGATTCAGTTTAGCAAGTCAACATAATTGTATTCCATGTTGGTCTTCTGTGAGAACAGCACTCAAACACATTTGGCTTGATAGACTCTCAGCTTCTGAGGCCAAATGGGAAGGAAAGTTGCACATTTGGAGGAGTTGGTTTGGATGGCTTTCAAAGTATCCACTAAACCTGTGATTTAATATGGATTTATTAAGCAGATACCTGGTCTTTTGATTATGGAGTTGAGCCTGGAAAGAGGAGAGTGTGGTGGGGAAGTATAGGAAGCAGCTCAAATTGTATCTATAAATGCCTTTTCTGTCACTGGGCCAGAATGTACAGCCTGGTCTCTACAGTGGATTCTTCACTAAAAAAATAATTATTTATTTACCCAAAATCAAGACATATTGAAAACAAACTTTTTATATAAAGACAGAAATACTGTTACAAAGATGCCTCCTTGAGCAAATATGCAAAATGATGAGAACATAGCCCATTGGGCCAGCTGCATTTACTTATTCATCACTCAGAATACAGCTTGGACGCTTGTAAGAGAGTGGTTCGTTTCTGGGATCAAGTTGAAGGGAAAAGTAAATGTCTCATCTCTCAGAATGAAAACAAAAACATATAATATTTACTTTTGAAAAAATGGAGCACTTGGTTACATGAAAGATTTGAGAATTTTAATAATGCTCCCAAATTCAGCCCTTTATCACACCAATTTATTTAGGTATCTTAAGGTTAATAATATAGATATCTCCAGGTACAACTTCATCCTATTTACATAAAGAAACATTAAAAATTCAAGATATCCTTTGTAAAAGAATTAGAAGTTTAGTAGTTGAACATAGCAAAAGAAAATGCATAACAGCCTATTAAATCTCACAGTTCTTTCTCATCAAATTGCCAAAAGGAACATAAGTGATCAGTAACTTTTTTAGAACTCTGTAAGTACAAGACTGCAACTGGGTCAAAAATAAGAAAATTCAGTTTTACAATCTCAAGAAGGTTCTGAAGAATACCTGTCTAGTGACCATAAAAAACAAACGAACGAACAAACAAACAAACAAACAAAATAAACAATATCTTCATAATTTAGCCAAAGATGGAAATTTTCTCAAATGGGAAAGGCAAGCTATGCACTGGGGTTGACTTAAGGATTATTGAAAAGCTTTCACCAATTTAAAACCAATAAGGCAAAAATGATAAATAGCTATTTGGTTACCAACATATAAAAAGAAAAGAAAAGATGCTAAATCACAGCAAATAGAAAAATGCTGAAAATGGATTAATTTATCCAATTTACCTTAATTTCTCCTCCAAAAGGCTTATAATAAAGTATACTAGTTCACTGAGAATAAGTAGAGAAAACCAAAGAATTGAACATTTTTCCACAATATATGGGGCTGTTTTTAAAGGACTGAGTTTAAATAAGCAATAGCAAAGTATCTTTCATTATAGAAGAAAACCGTTCTGTTGTGAGTGAAGACAGCTTTTTACATTACTTAAATGTTAATAATAATGGAATGAATTTTGGACAAAGAAACTCACACAAATGGTCATACATATGATAAAAAGGCAGATTCTGGGATAGAATTCCTGAGACAGATGGACCCTGGGTCTGATCTTATCAAGAAATCCTTATAGTCTTTTATTTTTATTTTCCCTTGAAATTTAGTTCCATAAACATTTCTAAAAACAAACAGGAAACTCAGAAATAATCAAAATCACTTAAGAATAGCCACAGGCTGGCGGGCGATGAGTTTCTGTCAGTCCCAGGTTCAGCGAGGCACTTTTAACAAACCAGTAACTGCAATAACGAAACACATTTTCCAAAGGGTAAGACCAACCCAAAATGTGATCAGACCCATCTCACTAAGAACCAAATCAGAAATGCGACAATCGACAGCATAAACACAGCCCGGATGGGAAAAGCGATGCCCCGAGCTACGCAGATGCAGTTTTCCGCGGTCCTTTCATTTCTTTCACTGAGTCTGCTTTGACTTTTTAAAGAAGCTAGTTTTTATTCTGCATCCTACAAGACTCTAGAAGTCCCGTAAGCATCTCTTTACAAGGTCCTTTAAAGACAGTGAGGGCATTCTCAGGGTGCCTCACACCTATTATTTTCAGGTACCCGAAGTGTGCAGTTTACAGAGCCTGGATATAACCCAGAATGTTCCATGCCTTCTCCAGTGGTTTCATAAGCTGTGATTCAATTATTTGATATGCTACTGGACAGTGGCAGTATAATAGATGTCAATAGTACTGATATTTGACAGCGTGTGTCAGTGATCTGATCTGGGGGTGATCAAAGTTGTGTGACTTGGGAGGAGGGCAGGTTGCATAAAAACTGTCACTCATGTAAGTTTTCAACTGGAAGGCCCATCAGTGCGTACTGAACTCCACAGTAAGCAGAAATATTCTCATATAGTGAATCACTGTTTAAAATCAATGCTCAAGGATAAATAAGGCACTAAGTTAATGTTAGTCACACCAAAATCAAAAATATAGTCTCAAAGTGTGTTTGCTTTCCTTCCCCGATCCCCTGGGAAATAAATCCTAGGACGTTTGAGTGCAGGAAATGGAAGTTGGTAGTCTATTTTGCACAGCCTAAAATAGAGGAAGACTCCTTCTGGAGGGGTAGGCAAAGCATCCACAGGAAAAAGAAAGTTCTGCAGAATTAAATTTCCTCTTAGGAGACATGGACCATTTAGGACACTCTCTACACAGGGGGCATTTTCCTGGCTGCCAAAGAAGGCCAGCATTGCCTTCTATGGACCCCCTGACTCCTGGAGTCAGTCACCTGCACCTACTGTCTGGACCTCCTTGAGGCGGAGGGCTGCTGGGCCAAGCAGGGCTCTGCTGCTGCTGGTGGATGGCGAAAACACCCCAGGCACAGGTTCTCATGCTACTTTTTTGATGGGACTCAGAAGGAAATGGCAATGATGCTCATTTCACAGAGGACAAAATTCTGTTCTCCTATCACATGCAAAAAATAGTGAGAGTGAAGGGGCTCCATTACACCAGGCATATTGCTGTCCCATGGCTGTGACAAACACCCCAGGAGACAACTTGGGAACTAACAAGAAAGTAACCATCTCTCCTCCCTTCATATGTCCTTTGCGAACTCCGACCAGGTTTCTTTTCTCTGCCCAGGATTGAACTTGGTATGTTTGTCTCTATGCCTCCTCTTTTCTTGCTTTCTTTTGCTTTTTCTCTCTGTTTGTTTTTGTTTTTGTTTTTGTTTTTTTAACCATCACCAAAAACACCTTTCCTTTACTGAGATGATTGTCTGCATAATTTCCCTACTCAAACAAGAATTGGGTATATGGTAAATATTTAGAGTTTTATGGGCTGGCCATTATTGGTGAATTTCATTAAGAATCCCCCGGTCATTCATACAAACATGCTACCCTTAAAATACAGCTGTCTTCCAGCTCTCTCCACTGTTTGTTAAATATCCAGTAAAGCAATACTTGGAAACAACAAGAAAGGAAGTTATGTGATTGCTAGATGACCAACAGTAGCCATTCTACGTCAAGCAAAACCATTGGAAGCTTCAAGGATTCCTTCCTCACTCCTCCTGGCATATGAGAAATCAAATCTAGAAATAGAAAAAAGTAATTTAGATTGCTTTTCTTTGCTCCAAAAACACATGGACATGCCAGTCTTGAAGACGACCCCTAGCACGATGCCCAGTTTTGCGTTGCTGTTATCTATGACAAAGTGACTGACGACACGATGACGACCCCAAACTCCATTGCTGCGTTCCTCCACATTCGCAGCTGGGAGGTGTGAACATGTTTTTTTTTTGTGTAGGTTCTTTGGGAGAACCTGGTATTGATTTTATCAGGATACCACAAAGATTATTTCAAGAAAAAGATTCTATATCATAATGCTTAGCATTTATATAGTTTCTTTTGATTTCAAAACAAGTTATAAATGTTTCCTACCATGACAACATCTTCGAGAGGTAGGTATTTCCCGTCCCTACATTACCAATGGAAACTGGAGGCCAAGGGGCGCAGGACTATTCCAGGCCACAGAGACTCAGGAGCAGCCCTGAGACGGGGCCACCTGCTCTGGCTGTGAAGAGGCCATGCCTCTCTCGCGTGTAGCAACAGTCTCTATTAATATAGGGTAATATATTGTATAGATATAAAACAGTGACACACAATGACATTATAGAACGATAATCCAGGATTTTTGTTTCTTAGTAAAATATGTTAAGCACAGTATTTAAATTGCATTTCTCTGAAAAGCATTTGGTATATTAAATAGCAGAAGGTATATTAAATAGCTCTATAAACGTTTGCTGGCATACTCTTAACAGCATAATGATTCTAAAGAAATTAAAATCCACTGACGCATAGAGATCGTTCTTTTAAAATACTATCAACTAAAAAAAAATGAAAAACTACTCTATTCGCATGATGCAGACTTAATAGCTTGCTGGATATTAGCAGGTGGCTACATAATTTTCTGAGCTTGAGAGGAAGGATACATATTGCTGGCTGTGGTTTTAAAATACCAACTTGGTAGGGAAAAATGCAGTTGAAAGGTGAAAATTAAAGATTGCTATTTCCATTTTGTATCCATTCCGAGGAAATCATACACTTTTCAAAGATATTATCATACTTGCAACTAGTGTTGAGGTGAATATAGAGACACTGTATCCTAAGAACATTTTGTGAGAAGAGAAAATGATACAAAATAAAAGCTATGGTAGTAGAGGAAGATGAATAAGGACGCAGAAAGGGTATTTTCACCAGTACTGAAGGCTGGCGTGAGAATTTCACCCTTAGGTGACTGTACAGGTCTTGGAGATGGTTGACAAGGATAAATACTTGGTTTGATCTCTTCTTCGGGTGGAATCCCACTCTCCTAAGTGAGCAGTTCTGAGAATCGTGTTAAAGAGCTTACTTCATGCGAAGCGTCCTAAGAACTGACCAGGTAGGTCAACAGAAAAAGTTCTAAAACTAGAAACAAAGAGGCATCAAAGGCTTAAAATTGGTATGCAAACGTAAAAACTAACTTCCAAGCCAAAATGACATTCTGTCGGAAGTAACAAATACAAAAGTCTTAAATGTAATGTATGCCCCGCTAAGATATTGTTAGATATTACATGGCGATCAGAGATTGTTTTCTATAAGTGTGCTTTTTTCCCTAAAAAAAGACATATTAAATTGGTTTCTCTCCTCAGCCCCTTTATATATAAATATGAAATACGAGCTGTCCTGCAGTGTGTTTGTCCGTGTTATGCACTCGCGGGGACCTTCCCACTCGCACTGTAAGTGGCAGTTTTGTTTGAGGTGGGCTGGAGTTTGAACAGGCTGGAGCAGTTTGGCTGTTTGGTCGGCTGTAAGCTTCTGGCGTAGGGTGAGTACCAGTCCCTCTCAAACACATCTTTAAGTTGCTTAATGATGCTCGTGTTGTTCCTCACATCCGCCTGGTTGATAACGAGGCCCGTGCCCGCATTCTGGGTAAAATCATTCCCTACCCAGTCGAAATTTCCTGCAAACAAACAAAAGGAATAACGGTGAGCTCCAATGGGGACCGTTGCCCATGTAATGGAATTCAGAGCAGATTCTAATTAAAAAATAATAAAATAAACACTTGGGAATAATGACAGGGAGACTAAATTCTCTTGACAGTTTGGAAAAAAAAATTCCAAGAAGCCTTACATATGGCATATTAATATTTGCATGTTATTTTGGCATTTCCTTCAGCTTTGCTCAACTTGAAACTCAAAACAAGGAATCTGCTGTTCCTTTTGTAAATGTTATTTCTTATTGACAGTCACAAGACACGCTAAATACAGCAACATTTGAAATATGTAAGAATCTACTTAAAAATTCTGTGAACAATTACTACCTTCTCAAAGAGACAACATCTAGTCCATATGCACAAATGAGGGGTTCTCATTTCTATGCTCAGAAGCTTCTGCAGCAGAAAAAATGCTGAAGGCAGAGAACTGGCCCTGTCTGAACACACAACACCCCTGGCTCAGGCTGTGAACTGTCTGCTTCCAGGACCAGGCCGCCAGGCTCCCAGTGTGAATGCCTGGTGTTAGGGTGTCCGTTAGCTTGCTAAGGTGACTATAACGAAGGAACACAGACTGGGGGCTTCAACAACAGAAATGTACGGTCTCTCAGTCTGTGGGTTGAAAGTCCAAAATCGAACTGTCAGCAGGGCTGCTTCCTTCTGAGGCTGAGAGGGAAGGACATGGCCCAGGCCCCTCCTTGGCATGTGGGTGGCCGTCACTCCTGTGTTTCTTCACACCGTCTGCCCCCTGTGCACCACTCTGCATCCAAATTCCCCTTTTCATAAGGACACCAGTCACATTGGATTAGGCCCACCCTAATGACCTCATTTCAACGAGTGTCTCTGTAGAGATGCTCTCTCCCAATTAGGTCACACTCCGAGGCACTCGGGGTTCGAGTTTCAACAAATGAATTCTGAGAGGACACAGTTCGGCCCCTAACGGGTAGTTCTGTCCCAGAAATGTGACATGTCTGTGTCACTTACACGTGACAGTCTCCAAGGTCGGAGTAGAAAATAGGGCTGGCTACCGGAAACCCACACACGAAGTCTTGTCTTCCACATCGAAAGGGGACAGGGTTCCAGCAGGACAAGATTTCTCCCCAGGAGGGGACAGCACTATGTACTTCTTTGATCTCTGCCCTTCATTTAACACATACTTACTGGGCGTCTCATATCTGCCTGGCATTACGTTAGAGGCCATGACACAAATCCAAAAATGACAGTCCTCGCCTACAAGGAATCCAGGAAGGAAACACAATAATTTTAACACAAAGCATAGGAGGTGTGTGTCAACAATGCCGTGAGAGCAGGAGAAAGGAACTTCTGATTTTGGCTACATGAGTTAGGACAGGAGCATTTCATTGAGCAGTGAGAGATGCATAGATACTTATCAACCAGGAAATTAGGGAGCCACACCCCAAAGGGATGCAGAAGAAAATACAATCAGGATCTTGGAGCGTGAAGGGGAAGAGCCAGGGATGAAATGGGGATGCAAGGGACTTAGAGGACCTGTTGGGTGTTGAGTGCTGACCGTGAGGAGGGCTGTCCTGCTGTTTGTGTGCAGTGTGTCGTATGGTTGTGGGGCTTGCGTCCACTTTGTAGGTGAGGACTGTGAAGCTCAAAGAGGTGAATGAAGTTGCCAGTCACATGGCTAATCAATGATAGACCCACTTTTCCAGAGTCCATAAATTACAATACCATAAACAAAAATCTATTCTCACTAAAAAAGATTTAGCCGTGTCAAATCTGACAAAGTTATTGCATAAATCACCACCGGCCCGGGGCTGGTCTAAGCTCTCCCTTTTGCTCTCCTTTTTGGTCCAGAGCTGGTTCCACAAGCAAACGGAAGGCTTTGTAAGTATGGATCTCGACTTTCCTCTCCCTCAGCGGCTCCTCAGGCATCACTGCAGGAATATTTGCGGAATTAGACACCCCCAAGCATATCAACTCCCTTTTCCATCTGGCACCCCTGGGATATTGGAAGGTGATTCTCCTTGTTCCTCATTTTAGTCCTTGAGTTTATTCCTCAGGGCCCACTACCAGGTCACTAAATGAAATATCAGCAGAGAGAAGAACCCCCCCCCCCCTGCCGCCACCCCCACCTCTCTCCCCCATCTCACCCCACTCCCTCAAAACGCGATGATGCTGTCCATAGCTTCGTGACGGATATAACTCTGGATAAATTTTATTGCTAAAAATGAGTAAACTGTTTGCCAAATGGTTCATAATATCATGTCAGGGTCTCTACACAGAGACCTCCTTTGCCGGTGCTGAGGTTCCTGAGCATTTACTATCAGACACATGGCCACACTCAGCACTGTGGCTTTGTACGAATGCTCAGTGCCAGGTGATCACAGGCCTGGACCTCTACTCTAAACTGGAGAGTAGCTGCTGTAGGTTGAGAGTTACTCTGGAGCCCGCTGGTACCTTCTATTCATTCCGTAAACAAAAGGCTCCTGCCTTCCAAGGACTTTTGGATAACACACTAAAATCTCATCCCTACAGCTGAGTGCCAGGCATTGGACCAAAGGCAGAAAATTTGTTATCTTGTTAACATTATTTCTTCCAAGATGGCAACACTAACTCCACTGCACTGAAGAGGAAATTAAGGCACAGAAAGGTTACGTAATCTGTCCACGGTGGGAGTGAAAATGATCAGAGCTGGGGTGGAAAGCCAAGTCTGGCTCCACAGCCCACTTCTGATCCTAAAGGCATACTTTGTGCTAATTGTGCACACCATCCTGGACTTCAATAGCAGACCCAGGGGCGGAGCATCCGGCCACCTTGAGATCTCTGCTCCATTCACCCGCGGGCCACACACAGAAATATGCTTGGAGTGGCACAGGGAAGGGGGAAGATGAGGGGAGAGAAGTGATGAGATTTTGAAGCCTTATTCTGTGAAATTCAACTTTTTGCTTCAATACAATGAATGGAGCCCAAATCCTGCACCCATATTGATTCTCAAAAGCTTTATGTTCTTCCCAGGAATTTAGTTCCAGGCTGTTTTCGCAGGCCTACCGAGGCGTTCCCCACGTGCGTCCACATCTCCCTACTTTTCACGTCCTGACAGCGGCTACACTTCAAAGCTAAACAAGCTTCAGTATTTTTTTCGATTGGGATACAGTTTCACCCAGCTCTTTTTGTGACTGCCATCTCCGCTTCTAAAATGCATGTTGAGCCCCAGATGTCAGGAGAACTGTGGTGCCCCCCTCCCTTCCGCCCCCTCAGGAACACCATGGTGACAGTACAGACGAACTCACGGGAAAGGTGGATGGACTTCAATGAGCCTTTTGAGTGCCTTCAATCAACCTACTCCTCCCTGTCATCCCTCTAATAATTCAAACCTTCTTCTAGATAAGTTTGCTAAGTTTGACTCAAATATAGTCTGGAGAATTAAAAATTAGAGAGATGATACTCTTTGAGGATTCTTCTGTAAGTCTTGTGAAAACTTAATGGAGCTATAATTCCATGCAAGGTGTAGTGTGGGCTTTTCCTAATTCATGACTCTCGGCAGGTGTCTGAGTGATGGCTTATGGGATTTCTAGAACATGCTGATATTAAATCATTCATGAACTTTCCCTCTCGATGCCCTTTACATGTTTTTATATTAGAATTATGCTTCGCTCTAGGGAATCCATGTTTTGCTAAACTGCTATGTGTAAAATAAACTCAATTAAAATTGCATTAAAACAGAGAGTGCGGAGTAGACCCACATAAATATAATCAAATGATCCTGACAAAGGAGCAAACGCTATACAATGGAGCAAGGGTAGTCTTCTCAATAAATGGTGCTAGGTATCCACATGCAGTAATAATAATAATAACTAGGTATATAATAATATCCACAACTAGGTATCCACATGCAGTAATAATAATAATAACCTATACACAGACCTTATGCCCTTCACAAAATTTAACTCAAAGTGGATCATAGACCTAAAGGTAAAATGCAAAACTATAAAACTCCTAGGAAATAATATGGGGGAAAAAATCTAGATGACCTGAGGTTCAGTGACGACTTTTTAGATAAAACACCAAAGGTATGATCCATGAAAGAAATAATTGTTAAACTGGACTCATTAAAATCAAAAAATTTCTGCTCTGCGGAAGACGGTCAAGAAAAAAAAAGGATAAGCCACACATTGAAATATGTGCAAAGGACTTATCTGATAAAGGACTGTTATCCAAAATGACAAATGGCTCTTAAAACTGAATGATAAGAAAACGGAAATTTCAATTAAAAAATGAGCCAGAGACCTTAATATACAGCTCACCTAAAAATGGTATGCAAATGGTAAATAAGCACATGAAAAGATGCTCCACAACATATGCCATTAGGGAGATGCAAATTAAAACAACAATGAGATCCCACTACACACCTACTAGAATGGCCAAGATCCAGGACACTGACACCACCAAATGCTGCTGAGGATGTGGAGCAACAGGAACTCACTCACTGCTGGGGGGACTGCAGAACGGTGCAGCCTCTCAGGAAGACAGTTTGGCGGCGTCTTACAAAACTAAACACACCCTTACCATATGATTCAGCAATCATGCTCCTTGGTATTTTCCAAGAGGAGTCGAGAACTTATGTCCACACAGAAACCTGCACGTGGATGTTTATAGCAGTTTTAGCCATAATTGCCTAAACTTGGAAGCACAAAAGATGTC